AGCATCCTTATCCCATGTACCTTTTGGCCTGTCTATTAATTTGCAAAGGGAAATCGCAGTGCCCATTTTTCTAAACCTTGACATATTATCTATAAAAACCCAGGGAGTGGCTTAACAAAAGGGAATCAGATGGTTCTCACTGCTTTTGACATTATGCTTTCACAAATGAAACATTCAGTTTGTGAATCCAAAAAGGACTAATTGAGTATTTGTCATATGGTCAAGCCAGGGTCTGGCAATCTATAGCCTGTGGGCCAAATCCAGCCCACAGCCTGTGTCTGTGTAGCTGGAAGACATTTCAGGAACAGATTGGCACTGTGAGCTGGGATACCAGCCAGGGCACCATCCTCCACTCCTATTTCTGCCTCTGCTTCCAGAACCTGCCTCCCAGGTCAGCAGCTACTACTCCGGAGCTATTCTGGCCAACATCTACACATTGAGACCTCTGCTGTTAACAACTGCTAAGCACAGAGCAGTCTAGGAGCCTTCTGGCCAGCTACAAAGTCAAATGGCCCAGCTCTCCAGGAGTACAGAAGGGTACACCAGGACCTGGGTGTCAAAAGGTAAAGAGAAAACTGATCAAGGTAGCAAGCCTCCCCCAATCCCACTCACCACCTGCCTCCAACAATAGGGTCAGCCACTCTTCCTCCTGAGAAAGTCTGCAACAAATGGTAACTGGGCACAAAGTCCACCACCCAGGACCAGCCACCCTGGCAGGGTGTGGCAGGATTTGTCTCCCTTATTATATCAGTACCTACATGATATTCTCAGTTTTGCCTCTTGGTCTACAAAGTCTATAATGTTTATTATCTAGCCCTGTGTAGAAAACTTCGGGACACCCTGGTATAAATTCCCACTTTCTCCAAATAGACTAATCATTAAGGTACACAAGGGGGATAGAGAAGGCAGAAATCTTGAGAATCTATGTTAGGAAACCAGAGATTCTTAAGTTGCATTGAAGCGAGAGATGCAAATTATAGATTTATATACCTGAATCCACACATTTCTGAAAGTTGCATTAATCTTTTACCCTTTGTGCTATCTGCTTGCTAGGCTTAGTTATATGGGGTATTTGAATGCCACCTACTGGGCACAAATGGCCTCCACATATTGGAAATGATGGTCCACACTGCAGAACATGGAGGTGCCACTTGGCAACTGGCTGCATAGCCTACACTGGGTGGCACTGTGTGTCATGGCTGGTTGAAGGGCTAGATTCATGGGGAGAGGTGTTCTCTGCTTCAGTAAAATTTTTCATTCAGGGCAGAGCAGTGTTTCTCAATCTCTTTGTTTTAAAGCTGTCCCGGGCATTGTGGAGTGTTTCTCAGCATCCCTGGCCTCTATCCATGTAGCAAGTTAAGTAGCATCTCCCTCAAAGATATGCCCAAGTCCTAACCTGCAGCATCTGTGAATGTGACCTTATTTGGAAATAGCATTTGTCTTTGCAGATGTAATCAAGTTAAGGATCTCAGAATGAGCTCACCCTAGTTCAGGGCAGGCCTTAAATCCAATGACAGGTGTCCTTATAAGAGAAAGGAAAGGGAGATTTGAGATGAAAGAGAGAGAAGAATGCCATATAAAGTCTGAGGCAGAGACTGGAGTGATGTAGGCACAAGCCATGAAATACCAACCATAGCAGCAGCCACCAGAATCTAGGAGAGAACAATGGAAAGGACTCTCCCTTGGAGAGCCTCTAGAGGGATCAACCCTGCTGGCACCTCCATTTCAGAGTTCTGACCTCGAGAACTGTGAGAGGATAAATTTCTGTTCGTTTAGGCCACCAAGTTTGTGGCATTTTGATGTATACACCAATGTCAGGAAACTAATACAACACTCTAGATACCAGTAGCATCCTCCCCCAGGTTGTGATAATCAAAAATGTCTACAGATATTGCCAAATGTCCCATGAGGAGAAAAACCACCCCTCATCAAGAAGCCCTGTGTTGGCATTTTGGCCTCTAATATAAAAGGAAGGAAGGCTCAAGTATTTGAAGGCTAGCTAGCCATCAGACCAACTGAACAGCAGGGTAGTGCCATCGACAGGCAAAGCAGATGGGAAATACAACTGAACTACAGGAACTGAAATGCAGAAAAAAATAGTAACTGACTTTTTTTATTAATTAGGCCTTTTCTCTGAGACACCAATGGACACAAACAAGAACCCTTTTTAATCCATTTTGATCACTAAACATCAATAGAATCTTAATCTTCACTTCTTTGCATGGTGGAGGTAAAGTTCAGTATCCTGAAATAGAAAGGAGCATAGGACCACCACACACAGAGTCCTTCTTATGCATCACAAGCATGTGTCCAGGAGAAAAATGCAATAGTTAATAAAGGAGTCATTTTGGCTTCCTGACTCTTGGCCTTTTTTACTCCCAGTTAAAGCAAGATGCTAACTTCAGCTCTAATTCTGGGGGAAAATAACTTTAGTCATTTCCAAAAAGAGTGTAATAATACCATTGTTGATTAGAAGTGTGGGTTTGAGAATTGAGCTGCTTGGCTTCTGGGTAGAATTCTGCCATGCCTGAGCCATGGGAGTGTCCACAAGCCACAAAACCTCTCCAAGCCTCATGTCCTCATCTATAAAATGTGGGGAGCCATAGTACACGCGGCTCAGAGTGAGTATTCAAAAGTGCAATGAAAATAAAAAGTGCTCAACCTAGAGTTTGGCATAGTGAAGTGTTCAGGAAACATTCGCTTTTATTATCCAGAATGAAGCACATTCATGAATTAGCCAAGTGATTTGGCAAGCACAAAAGTTATTGGTGCTTTAAAGGCACTCCCCAAGAAACAGAGGAGTAAAACCATAGGATTTCAAGTGCCCTAGAACACAGCATGTTCAGGAGAAGTTTTAATTATCTGCATGATGGATTATCCACACACACACACACACACACACACACACACACACAAAAATGTGCAGGTAATCAAAGGCAGCAGTTAATCTAGAATAACTGAATCATAATCTGCAGGCGCCATCAACAACCAATTTCCTGGGGCAATAGCCCACCATATAGCCTACCTATCTATGTGTGAGGCGAGGGCTTATGCCCTGAGAAGCCTCCAGCCAATAATGAAAGTGGACCTCAGATAGTAGCCTTGATTTGGAACCCTGATTTGGTTTCTGTTAATCCACAAAGTTGATTCCTGAAATCAACTGAAAAAGGAGAGTCAAACATTATAATTATGCTGGATCTCCAAAAAGCAATTTGAAAATAGATAACTTTTAAAACTTAAACATGTATTAGTTTCACATTGCTGTCACAACAAATTACCACAAACTTGGTGGCTTAAAGCAACATAAATTTACTCTTTTACATTTGTAGGGGGAAGAAGTCTGAATGGACCTTACAGACTGATATAAAGGCATTGGTACAGCTGCATTCTTTCTGTGGGATTTAGGGGATAATCTGTTCTTTGCCTTTTCCAACTTTTAGAAGTTGCCCCCATTTTCTCTCATGGCTCTGCATTACTTAGATCTGCTTCTGTGGTTATATCCCCTTCTCTGACTCTGACCCTTCTACTTTCCTCTTATGAGAACTCTTATGATCATATTGGGCCCACCTGAATAATCCAGGAAAATCTTTAATCATATCTACAAAGTCCCTTTAGCCATGTAGGACAACATATTCACTAGGGCCAGTTTTTGTGTCTACCATAGTGCAGAAATTCTAATAAAACATATATTTAACCCAAGATGATCATAATCATGTTGTACTATGACAGAAGGATCCTCATTTAAGTTTTGACATTGTGATTTAAATTTTTCTTCTACAAGAATGTACCAAAGGGAACTAGGTGCATACAGAAGTCTGGATGATATGTGATTGGAGTCACAGTCAAGGCCTGCTAAGAAAATACATGGAAGTCCAGAATAAAGGAGTTAAATCACTTCTGATAAACCAAGGAAGACTTGGCAGAGTAAGGAGATTTTTAGAGTTAGGTTGTGAAAGAACAGAGACAGTCTTGTTGTCTGAAGAGGTTATGGGAGTCTTAGGCATATGGCACTACACTGACCGATGACTGAAAGATATCCCTTATCCCATTTTGGAGTCTGAAATGCATGTTCTATATTGCCTGACAATTCCTCCAGCTGCCCACAGCTGGATAATATCTCTTTCATTGATTGCCTCCCCTTCCCTGCTCCCCTTCTTTCCTATTCCCTCAGGCCATTTCCTGGCATCACATTCCAGATAAATAATTTGCATTTGGCTCTTCAACTCAAGGTCTGCTATCTGGGGAGCCCAGCTGGCTTGGGCCTCTATATAGGAGCATGAAGACACCTTACCAGCACTTGTCATTATGGAGTTCTTGGGAGTGAGGGGAGAATGAGTGTGCTTCAGAAGATACTCACTTGCAGATAGAAACCAGTGACAACCAATCAAGGTAGGGGAGGTAAAGGAGGTTGAAGACCTGAAATTTCTAAAGAGAATCAAGACATAAAAATATATCCCTAGCCCAAGATATTCTTATTTTAGAAGGGCAAAGACTAGACTGTTCTTCCCCCTTCTCCACATTTCATTTAATCCTAACTATTAGCTTTTATCCTTTTATGTTTCCTCACATAATTTATTTAAGTTTAATCCTGATTCATAGACACAAACACTATTTGGGTCACACAAATATAAAATGTGCTAGGTTGTCAAGCTTTGGAACAATGAAAAAGGAAAATGATCTATTCCCTGTATGTAGTATGCTGATAAATGTTCCAGTGAGGAAAAGGGGGTCTGGTTTGTAGTATCTGGCAATGTCTGTGGTGTAACCATTCCCATCATGGCTGCCTTTAAACTAGGAATACGACATTGAATGGCTCATGAAACTACTGCAAATTTAACCATTAGCTCTTGTGAGCTGGTACAAGCTGACTTCATAAAATTGCAGCCTTATACAAATTTATAATGGTAATAACTGCTTAGTCTGATTAGACTATTTGCTTTATCAAACAGATCCCAAAATGGAAAATGACTCATTACCACAGAGTTTTATTTCTTACTCACATGATAGTACTGGGCAGGTAAACAAACCACTAGCATGTCCTCCTCCACAGTCCTTCAGAGGCTCAGGCTGACAGCAGAGCTGCCATCTCCAACACAGGGTTTCCATGGTCACCCTGGGCCATCTTCATTCTAATCTAGCAGAGAGAAAGAAAGTGGAAGATCACACGTGGGGTTTATGAACCTCCTCTCTACTCAAATTCTATTGGCTGAACTAGTACATGACCACACTTACTGCAAGGGAAGTTGGGAAATGTAGTCTAGCTCTGAGCCTAGAAGAGAGGGAGAACATGGATTTGGTGAGCATCAGCTTTCCCTGCCACAATCATATTTGTGAGCATTTATGCTATGTATGTCAGTTCATGCTCAACAAGTATGTATGCATAGATGAATTAACAAATTTTATAAATGAGAAAACTAAATTTTAGGTCAAGTAATTTGCTGAAGATTACACAGGTAGGAAGCAGCAGAGCTTAGACTCAAAATCATGTCCATTCTATGCCAAAGGCAAAGCTCTTCAACAGGTAAGTTTCACCTGGCTTTGCCTACATAAAGATGATTGTCAGAATAATATGAACCTGGCTGTTTCTTAAAAGCAAGAGATATGGCTGGGGTTGTGGCTTAGTGGTAGAGCACTTGCCTAGCATATCCCAGCTAAAGTAATTCTGCTTTGGCAACACATGATCCCCAATCTGGCTTTTTCAGACCGTTAGTTCCAAGTGGGTGAAGCTGAGTTTTAGCAAATAAAAATCTGTCAACCCTGATTGTGAAAATTGATGGATATTAGTGACTAGAGAATGATTTAACTTGTAGTTGCTTCCCTCCAAAACACAAAAGACTCAAGGTGGCTGGGAACAAACCAAAGTGAAATGGCATTTTTTTATCTCAAGCATAGGAGAGGTGATGGGATTGAGCCAGGCAGTTGGAATGAAGGAGAAAAGAAGGAGAAATAAGACATCTTGACCTTTTGGCCCAGGACAACTAAGGGGAACATAAATGAAATGTTTGCACTATCTTAGTCCTTTGGGGCCTTAATTATGGATTCTTCTGGGTCCAAGATGAGGCTGCCATGAACTTTCATGGCCATCACAGGGTACAAGAGCTGATTTCCACCAAGGCAGCTCTGCATCAGTAGCTGAAAAGCAGGGTCTAAGTGGTTTGTTAATGACATGAAATATTCAAAAGTACATAATATTCTTTCTTTTGAGGGGGAGGTACCAGGGATTGAACTCAGGGGCACTCCACCACTGAGCCACATTCCTAGCCCTATTTTGTATTTTATTAGAGACAGGGTCTCACTGAGTTGCTCAGCGCCTCGCTAAATTGCTGAGGCTGGCTTTGAACTCGTGATCCTCCTGCCTCCACCTCCCAAGCTGCTGGGATTACAGGTGTGAGCCACTGAGCCCAGCCATATTCTTCTTTTTATAAAACACAAATTAGTATTTTTATTCCTCCAATATCATTCTCTAACATTTTGCTTTAGACTCCTTGAATCCTAAAGTAAGGAGCTATCGATGTAGCAAAATTCCACCTCCATCCTCTTAGGGTTCTGGCTGTGCCTGAGAATTAAATTTACATAAGATATATTCAGAAGAGAAAAGCATACAAATTTATCTAATACAAGTTTTATGAGACACGTGAGCCCTCATAAAGAATGAAGAACCTTCATAAAGAAAAGCAGTTAAGAGTCAATCTCTTATACACTGAATTGGACAAAGAATAGTGATTTGTGAAAAGCAACTAAATTATGTAGGGAGGCTTGAAAGATTAGAGTTACTATAACAAGGTCTGCACAGTGCTCTCTCAGTTTCAAGTTCACAGCATTGATGATAATAAGGTTATTGCATTTCATATAAGAAGGACATTTTTCACATGGGAATTTTACCTCCTGCTTTTTAAAAAAATTTCTCTTAGTTGTAGAGGGACAAAATACCTTTATTTATTTATTTATTTATTTATTTATTTATTTCTATGTGGTACTGAGAATTGAACCTAGTGCCTCACATGTGCCAGGCAAGTGCTCTACCACTAAGAAACAACCCCAGCCCTACCTCCTTCTTTTAAGAAACAGAATGAAGATCAAACTGATCTTTCTGCACCCCTGGACTTGCTGGGATTGGGGGCATTTTGTTTGTTTGTGTGTTTACGTATGTGGTGGGGGGACTGGGGATGGATCCCAGGGTCTTGCACATTTCTAGGGCAAGTGCTCTAACACTGAGCCACATCCCCAGGCTGCACCTGATGTTTCCTAAGTGACTTTAATTAAAAATAGCCAGTATTCCAGAGCAGTATATTTTGAGGTGGGCTTAAGTCTTTCAATCACATTGCAAATATTATCCTTGGATTTTCCTATGAACCTGGAGTCTCCCTTTGGAAGTGTGTGCACTGAATTGCAGCTATCTTCACTGTGGTAGCTGAAAATAATTTTTAAAAAACTTCTCTAAAATTATGATGCTCTATCTACAGCTACATTTTTATTCCCTTTCAGACCTTATTATTAGATGCACCTTTTGGATCTTTTTCTACTAAAGCAACAGAATTAGTTAAAGTTCTTATATTTGAAAGAGAGAATCTATTAACCAAATCCAGAAATACTGAAATTTAATCTCATTTCTATTCTCTGTCAACATTGAACACCAAAAGAACTTTCCAGCCAGTGGGGCATTTCTGTCCTTTGATGTGACATGTTCAGTGAAGTCACTGGCGTGGATTTCCTGAGCAGTTAGTCTCTGCGGCATTTAGAGCCTGCCACACTTCTTTGCAGGTTCAGTTTGATCAAAGATATGCCAGGGCACGGACGGTCTTCAGACTCCACTTTCATATTCACTTTGTGGAAGTTCAAGGTCTCTAAACTAAGCAGCCCCTCTCAGGCCATGCAGCAGCAAGCCGATTGCCATTTTCTTTTGACACCTAGTGTTTTATGTGACATTTTACACAATGGCAGATGGGCTTTTGGGGGGGAAATGCTCTACATCTCCAGAAAACTCTGCTGGGATGACTTTCCTAATTTACTCTAAAAGGTCACTGCTAAAGAGTAGGCTTTCAGCATTTATCTATTCTTCAAAATATGCATTGATTGTCCTCAATATTCAAGAAGCTAGAACTTACACTAAAGAAAGATCATGGAGACATAGTTCCCTGACTTTGAGAAATTTGTGGATTTGACCAAGAAAGCTAACCCCAGTTTTTCATCCACAAAATTCCCACATTAGGAATCAATATTCTATATTAACTCCATGCTAAATAAAGAAAATAGAGACACAAGTTACCCCATCTGCTTCCAGGGACCGTGCTTTGGAAGTTAAAATTAAACTATTATTTAAAGCAGGGCCTGCTCTTGTTAACTCTTGGAGTCCAACTTGAATGTCAAAATGCCAACTTGAAACCGTCATGAGCTCACATAGTCCCACCCATTCTAGAAACAGGATGTGCTTTGCAGTTACAGGTTATAGGTCCAGTAATTATATATTTAAAAAAAAACACCCAAATCAGATGATGTGATCTCACCTAACATGAGCCTTTCAGCAGAGCCTGGAACAGTTGTTTATACTTTCCCATATCAGCCTGTGGGCGTCCTCCTCTCTGTTTTTCTTCTCCCATTGGCAGCTGGCGCTGTGAACGTTTGCTTGAAACAAACATTTTTTCCTGGGCATATATGTCTGTCCCCTGTCTCTGGGAAACTGTTGGGCAGCCTTGAATTACATATGTCTTACTGCGGTTCTCAGACTAGGAATGGTGGTACTTTGTGTGTGTGGGGGGGGGGTGGCTCCGAGAGGGACTGAGGATAAGGCTGCATTCTTTCACCCCATGCCACACGGAGGTATCCCTTCCCCTTGATGAGTCTTGACTGAGGATGCCTGTCTGGGTTCCTTCTCAGGGACAATTTGGAGCTCACATTACAATATGACTTCTGGGGCCTTTGAAGTCCCAGCTGCAAGGGCAAAAGAACTGTGGTGATTAGGGGGCCAGCTCTCTCCTGGAAGGGGATGGCTACACAGTTGAATACAAAATGCAATTAAAAAGGAGCACCTGGGATCAAATCAAAGCGAAGAATGTGACTTTGGCTCTAAGCAGAAGGGGGCTCATTTAATCACACAAGAATGTTCATCTCTACAAAGTGCTTGATTCAGAAAAAAAAAAAAAAAACCAAAAAACTTTTAAAAGCAAAAAATGAAATAGCCAAACAAACAAACAACAACAACAGACCCCTCTGACTTGCCAGCACAGTGAAGGAATGCACAAATTTCCGCTAACAACTTCAGGGCTGCCCATGGGCAAATTAAGTTTGCAGATGCTCATATTGGGATGCTGGTGAGGTCCATTTTCTTCTGTGGCGCCCTGGTTTCTTCATACTTCCCCAGACGCCTGTGGACTCTTCCTTTTCCCATTACTTCTCACACTCATTCTGCCCCTCCACACCTAGTACTAATTTTCCAGAGGCAGGGTCTTTTCCAGGTGTGTGTGTGCAAGTGTGCACAGCATGTGTGTGTGTGTGTGTGTGTGTGTGTGTGTGTGTGTGTGCATGTGTGCTGGTTTTAGCACCTTATTGCCATGAAAACCCATCTATCCCCTATCCCACTTCCATAGGCCTGTGGGTCTCAAGCTGTAGCTGCCTCAGAATCAGATGGAGGGCTTGTTAAAACACAGGTGGACAGGCCCAGCCCCTGCACTTGCTGACTCACTGGGTCCAGGGTAGGGCAGAGAATTTGTATTTCTAATCAATTTCCCAGTGATCCTGATGTTGCTAGTCCAAGGACCATGCTTTGAGAACCACAAGGTTAGACCAACAAGTTGGACTGAGAGAATGTTAGAGCTCACGTGGGTTGTCATGTGGAAGGAAAATGTTCCTGAATTTGCAAGTCACCAAGAGCCTTGAGTTTCCTCCAAGCAGACTACCTCCTAGCTATATCAACCTGGGCAACTCCAAGGAGCCCAGAGGTTCTCAATGTTGAGCCCACATCAGAATCACACATCTACCTTTTATAAAGTTGACAGCAGACCCCACCTAAGATTTACTTAATCAAAATCTCAGGGCATGGCTCCAGGACATCAATATTTTGTGAAATCTCCATAGGTAAATGATTTGCCTGTGCTTTAACCTTTCTGGGCCTCAGTATCACCTTCTGAATAA